AACCATAATCCCAAACTAAAGTAGTCCCACCTGCCTACGCTTGGACCATATCCTTCCAAACATTTCTTATCCATTAACAATCTATATGTCTTTTAAGTGTAGTAACTGTACTCACATCCACCACTTCCTCTGGAAGTTCATTCCACACGTGGACCACACTGTAAAAAAACTGCCCCAACATCTTTTTTAAATCTTTCTCCTCTCACCTGAAAAATATGCCCCTGGTCTTGCAATCCCCCACAGGAGGGAAAAGACACCTGCTATTCACCTTATCTACCTCTCACGATTTTATAAACTTCTCAACCTCCTATGCTCCAGGGAAAAATGTCCTAGCCTATCCAGCCTCTCCCTATAACTCAAACCCTCCATTCCTGGCAACATCCTGGTAAATCTTTTCTGAACCCTCTCCAGCTTAATAATATCCTTCCTATAACAGGGAGACCAGAACTGGACACAGTGCTCCAGAAGAGGCCTTACCAATGACCTGTACAACCTCAACATAACATCCCATTCCTATACTCAAATGTATGATCAATGAAGGCAAGCGTGTTAAATGCCTTCTTAACCACCCTACCTGTATGTGATATAAACTTCAAAGAATTCAAAGCTGAACCTCTAGCTCTCTCTGTTATACAACACTACACAAGGCCCTACTTTTAATTGTATAAGTTCTGCCTTTGTTTGTTTTACCAAAACACAATACCTCACATTTATGCAAATTAAACTCCATCTGCCACTCTTCAGCCCATTGATCCAAATGATAAGATCTCTTTGTAATCTTAGATAACCTTCTTCATTGTCCACTATACCACCAATCTTGGTGTCTCCTCCCATTCTTCCTAATTCCAGAAAATATAGGCTTGATTTATTCAATCGCTCCTCATTGGATAATTCCCACATCCCAGAACCATATACTTTGGAACTCTATGCTATAATTTCATCTCTGCTTTTGTTGTCGGTACATTTGCATTATCCTTTCAACGAAGCAGTAACTCTGCCTTTAAAAATGAAGAACCCTTTGTGGTAATGTTACTATTATAGTTTTCTGTATTTTAATCATGGATGAATATTCACATGATGGCATATATGATGGGTGTTTTACTGTGTTCTAAAAGTCTAGTTATTCAGGATGGGATGACGTTACATAGGATGATATTACATTGAAGACATGGTGTAAAAACAGGCCATTTGGTCATACTAGTGTTTAAGCTCCATTCAAGCTTCCTCCCAATTTTTCTAATCTAAATCCATCATACCATCCACCTATCCCCTTGTTCTTTATATGGTTGTCCAGCTCCCCTTTATAGGCATGGAATAGAGTCCATAGAATCCCTACAGTGCGGAAACAAGCCCTTGGGCCCAACAAGTCCACACCAACTCTCAGAGCATCCCACCCTTTCCCATTCCCCAAACCCACCTAATCTACACATCCCTGAACACTATAGGCAATTTAGCATGGCCAATCCACCTAGCCTGCACATCTTTGGACTGTGGGAGGAAACCAGAGCACCTGGAGGAAACCCATGCAAACACAGGGAGAATGTGCAAACTCCACACAGACAGTTGCCTGAGGGGGAATTGAACCCGGGCCCCTGGTGCTGTGAGGCAGCAGTGCTAACCACTGAGTCACTGTGCCACCAGCATTGATACTCTTTGTTTCAGCTATTCCCTAGTGAGTTCCTCATTCTGACCACTTCTTGAGTTAAGTAGTTTCTTCAGATACCTGTTGGAATTCTTGGCATCACAGGGCAACATATTCCCAGCCCCTGAATAATATTGGCATTGACAGGAAAGTTAGGGAAGTAGGGTGAGGTTGCCACTAAGGAGGTTCTTGATGTTGACAGCAAAACTGTCTGATTCTCCAAACGTGTTGAATGGTAAGAGGCCTATTTGCATGCAACAGCATGTTGTTTCAGTTAATTGCACCTCACTGATGTGCAGTTTCTTTTTCTTTTATCCACCAGATAGAAACTAAATGGTGACAATTCCTGACATGAAAGTCACTGTGGGTAACTATAATTCCAGCTCACTGCTAGATCCTCTGATCCTCTACCTTGGATAGCAGCCACCAATATCTTACGATGCAGTCCCTGGGCAGTGAGCTCGCCAAACCCAGGCCCATCCACAGATGTTGCCATGTTACCAGCCTCACTGCATGTCATGGTACATCTTCAACCCACTTTCAATACAGTTCTGCACTTCAATGCTGCAATTTGGAGCACACCAAGAACTTTCATTGGAATGCTGCTGCAAGGATACTTTGTGCGCAGAAACAGGCACCCAGCTCATGGATTTCACTAGAGTGTATCTTGGGGCTCTTCACCTGTTGTTAGTGATACATGAATGCTCACAACATCTCTGCCTTGCCTTGCCTTTTTGTATTTTTCTTCTTTGGCCAGAGCTTAAAAGTTAATATTACTGTATTTCTGTCTTGTCCTGACGTTTAGTGCTGTCAAAAGCAAAGCAAATTGGCATGGTTGTCAGTAGTGATCAATCAGGAAGGTGGACATCTTGCTGTGTGGTACCACGCTATGTCAATTTCACACCTGCACCACGTGCCAGCATCATACACAGCAAACACTCTGCATGTGCTTCAATCAAATGGGCAAGTCTCAGAGAGTAAGAGGAGTAGTCATAGAGTCATACAACATGGAAACAGACTCTTTGGTCCAACTAGTCCTCAGTCAATCAAGGGAGAAACCCTAGAGTCAGGGGATCCTGGCACAGTAAGTCGAGAGAGGATTCCAACATCTGTCTAGAGACTTGGGCACAGTTAGTCGGCTGCTTGGGGTGGTCAGGGTCAGGGGGTGTTTGTACCCCTACAGTCCAGGCATTAAGTCATGTCAAGTCCTATGGATCCAGTACAACCAGTGCTGAGCACCAATGGTTACAGCTTTGGATTGCAGATCTGGGCGTGTATTCAGCAGACACTGAGTGTGCTGGACCCGGCTCTCCATAGCTGTCACCAACCTGTCCGTAGAGACTGCTGGCTGCTTGCATGCCAGAAGCAGCACAGTACAATTAGCACTGGTGGAGTCCTCCAACTTTTGAGTCAGTTTCCCAGTGACTCTAATTAACCTGCTGTTCCCGTATTTGTGTGTGCATTTCTATAAAGTTCTTAATTTCCAAAACCCATTGGATCCTCTCCTGTTTGGCCTGAGCATGTTCCTGATCTCTGCCCATCCCCTGCTTGCTAATGAGGCCGGGACATTTCTTTCAAGACCAGTTGCGGAGATGTGGCAGTGATGTGTATTGACCAGCAAGAGTTCCTGACTCTAATTTAGATAAAATACACACCGACATATCAGTATCTGAGCTGTTGGAGGGTGTGGGAGGCAGCTGTGTTTGTGCATTCTCTGAGGGCTTTTTCCTCGGAGACAGAGGATGAGATGTTTTGCAGACCACCTTCTGGATGGCGGGGTCTGTGCAAATGCCATTGGTCCCTGTGGGTGACAACAGAAAGAACATGTTGTAAAAAAGGGGTAGAAATTCAGGCATGTTAAGAGTACGTTCATAGTGAAGGTAATGGGAGAACAGCACAGCAATGGACAATGAATCTTACTTGGTTGTGGGACTTGGAGGTTTAGGCAAAACCACGGGAATGGTCCTCACCAGCAATGTCTAGGGCATGTCAGGCTCCCCACCACCCATCTTGATTCTTTCCACCCTAAATGTGGGCCATTTTCTCCAAGAATGAGGGGTATGGAGGAATTGAGTAAGATGAAAGTGGCTGGCACAGCTAGCGCTGGTGGAGGTGGGCAAAAGATGGTGAGGTATCGAACGGGTGAGTAGGTAGCGTAGCGGCCATGCAGAGTTAGTTGAGTGGGAGGATTAGGTGGCTGAGAGCAAGAGTTGCTTGCAGTAGTGAGAGTCAGCTTTGGTTAGAGATGAGTGCAATAGCAGAGATAAAGAAGGTGGAAAGTAGCAGAGAAAAATTGTTGGCAAAAAAACAATGAAATGCTGATGCTGGAAATCTGAAACAAAAATATGTAGTTGGAGAAACTCAGTAGGTTTGGCAGAATTTGTGGAGAGAAAGCTAATGTCAGCGTTTCAGGTACAGTGACCTTCAGAACACTGCAGAAAGATTACCCTCTCAGTGTGGATATGGTCATTGACCTTTTTTTTACAACATTGCTGTGCATTCCTTTAGATTGTAGAAACAGCACTGACCTATGTGGTAACCTTAGACCAGGCTGGCAAAGTCTGATGCCGTGGCCTCTCCTGTTGGTCCTGAGGGAAAGAGAATGGCCTTCCTCTGCACCTCGCCTTCCATTAGGACCTCCAGGTCCCAATTAACAAAGTGCGTTGCCAATTTTTCTTCTGCTTGACATATGTAGAACAATTCTCACAAACTGTGCAAGGCAGCTTTGGATTTACTTGTCATGTTGCACAACTGCATTTAAAAATGGTACCAGTATTGGGAATCTCAGGGTGTCCCAACAGTGGTGAGTATAGTGGTAGAGGGAAGATATGAACTGGGCGTCATTAGTATATTATTTGTAAGTAATAAGCTGTGTTTCAGAAAATAGCATGAGAAATCTCACTAAGTCTCATGGAAGGAAACTCTTCATGAAACTGAGCAAAATTGCTACTTGGCCAACATCCAGCAAAATTCTTACATCGATAGTCTCTAGCTTTGGTTTTGTGCACAAGATGGAACATTCTTTATATGTCCACTCTACCAAAACAGAATAACAGAATTGTTACAGTGCCGGAAGCCCATCAGTGCCATCGCCGGCTCTTGCCAATCTTATGCTTTTTCCCGTACCCTTGCACATCCAATACTCTCTTAAATGCCTTTAGTCACTTTAAAGACCTCTGTTAGGTCACCCATCAGCCTTCTGTTTTCAGGAAAATAGAAAAAGATTATATTTAAAATGGAGCAAGTTAGTGTAAGTGATGTAGATATTTTCTAATCAATCAGTTGAAAGATATTATTACACACCTCTGGAGCTTATACTGGGTTCCAGTGACTATCACTGCGGGGTTGCTGCAGTAAGACGGAGTGTCCAATAGGTGGGGGTGTCGCGGGTGCCGCTGCTGCAGGAAGTGAGCCGGTGTTTGGTCGCTCCAGTTCCGGGGGCCGGTGATGGATCGGTTCGTGTGGGCGAGCGGACTCTTGGAGATTAACGAGACCCTGGTGATACAGCAGCGCGGAGTCCGCTTGTACGACGGTGATGACAAGGTAAAAGTGAACCGAGCTGGGTTCAGGGCCGGGAGCCGAGTCTCAGGCAGAGTCAGGCCCTTTGGTCACTCAGTGTGTGCAGTCTTAGCTGGAGCTGTGACAGTGGGGAATGGCAGGGAGAGTCTATTAACCCTGTATGTTTGCACTTTCAGGGGAGGCCTGATTCTTACATGGATGAACTGTCATTAAAAACAAAACATTTCACAAAACATTTAGTGTCATCTTTTCAATTAAATCTGCATTTATTACCATCGAAAAGGGGTTCAGTGGCACAGCACTGCAGCATCTTTGCTGGAAATGTAATGGGTGGTGTAGTCACTGGCACCAATTAGAAAGTTTTTTTTGTTGACCTACAGTCCATGAAAGGATAGGGCTGAAGTTGCCTGATTTGGTTAGACTTGTAGGCATGATGGGGCAATTCGTCCGTGGTTCACCCTCTTGGAAAGCCAAAAGTGACAGCACAACATAGGCACGTTCTCTCTCTGTTTCTCTCTCAATATCATTAAAGATGTGCTCAAACCCTGTGTGCATTTTGTATGCTATACCCTCACTAATTGCTAATGTGCCAGTGCTGGTGGCCAGTTCCCCATGGAGTTCAGTACTTGTGCCATCAATCCTCAGGTACTAGAATCCACACTTTGAATATATGTTTTAGAGTGCGTTCTTATGTGGTCACTTTCCCTAGATCTAGTCTTTAATATAAAAAAAACCAATAAACACCATTGCTAGCTACCATGCTTTTCTATTAGTGGGAAGGATGAATACTGAGGCTGGCCTTAGAGGCAGCAATGCGGTTGCCTCATCTAAGTCAGCAGCTAGAAGATTACTCTGCGCTGGTCTTAGATGTTAGTGCTGTTAGTTGCAAAAAAAAGACTCCAGGAACTCCAGAATAAATCACTTAGATTTTCTGACAGAAAGGTATTTTGTAAAGCACACCTAATTTTGTATTTAATGGGGTCTTAATGTGTGTGTGATAAGTAGGAAAATACATTGGAATTTGGGATAAGGTCTATCTTTCTTGAGTTATGTGATGCATAACTAAATACTTTAAATTTAGTTTACTTCAATATCCAGGACAGGAGAGTCAATTTCCCCCAGAAAGTTAAAGAAAGCAAAATAACAGCAGTTATTTGGGAGCATGGAAATTGACCATTGCTTAAAATAAATGAGACAGTGGCTCAGTGATTAGCACTGTTGCTTTACAGCACCAGGGACCCAGGCTTGATTCCAGCCTTGCATGGCTGTCTGTGTGGAGTTTGCAAATTCTCTCTGGCTCTGCATGGGTTTCCTCCAGGTGCTCCGGTTTCCACCCACAGTACAGAGATGTGCAGGTTAGGTAGATTGGCCATGCTAAATTGCCCACAGTGTCCAGGAATGTGCGGGCTAGGTGGGTTAACCATGGGAAATGCAACATTATGGAGATAGCGTGGAGGGGTGGGTCTGGGTGGAATGCTGTTTGGAGGGTTGGTGTGGACTCGATGGACCAAATGGCCCCTCTCTGCACTGTAGGGGATTCTATGAAAGCTTTCCATTTTGTCTTCAGGAGAATTCACAAGAATACCAATTCATTGGGAAAACCAGCATTTATACTACATGAAAGGGAAACGTTGGTTGGTTGGCAAGAGGGTTCTGATTGTAGAGGTGTTGCCATGGAGAAATACACCAGATAGTGATGACTGACAGTTAACTGCTAGGCTTTGATTAAATTTTATCCTGAGAAATTTCCCTGACACATGAGTCAGCAAATGGTTGCCACCTACCTTGTTGAGTTGAAATAAGCTCGTTACATGTTCCATTTGTGTGCAAAGAATAGGACCCAGTACATTAGTGTGTGGTTTCATGTACACACAAGTGCAGCATACCGTGAGCCCCACTGACAACCTCAAAATTGCCAAACCCCTAATTCTTTACACACTCAAGCTTGTCTGTAATAGTTCAATTGCAGAATCACATCTAATGTTGGATGCTGAGTTGTGAATGGACTTGTCAACCAATCGGCACTCTTCTTTCATGCAGTATAAATTATTTTCCTTTAATTGAAATTCTTACAGATTGTCGTCATGTGTGCAAGATGAAAGGCTTTGACAAAATATTTTATCATCATCAATAATCAAAATAGTAATGTTATTTAAAAGAAATAATTGGATAGATCCTTTATTCCTGGTTGTTACTTTACAGCAGTAGTACTTCATACCTTCCTAGGCATTGCACCTCTGACTGTAGCCTACATAAGGATTCAAAACAAAGTGTTTTTACAAGAACAGTCTCTGCCCTGGAATCCTATGTTTGTTTTCTCTTTCACCAATCACCATTTATTGCTAGAGTTGTAAAATATAGCTTGCTGCTAGATCTCTGTATATGCTGCAGTAAGCATATAGAAGAATAAAGGAATGTCCACTGGTGACAGCTAGCATGGATATATGTATTCTCCCATCCTGAGAAAAAAAAGTATGCCTGTGCATGGCACCTTTCCAGATAAAGTGGGAGTCATTCTCTTAGCTGTTCTACTTAAAAATAGTTCTTTTTGTAAAATTATATTTTTAAAAAGCCTGTTACCCTCATGATTTCCTGTCCTAAAATTAGTGTTTTCATTTATTGTAAGTTTAAAAATACATCCCCTGTCATAATTCAGTGGTATTGTCAAACCTGCCTTTTTTTTTTCAATATTAATTGTATCTAGACCTAGTAATGCCCACCCCAAGCTTTCTAATAAAATTTTGCCATTCCTGTGAAAGAATACTCTACACTCTGGCCACCAGGTGGCATCTAGGAACAGAATTCGCAGCTTAGCTATGAATAAATATTTTGACTTACTATTTCATTACATTTCATTTAGAAAAATGAGGATGGATCTCATTCAAACCTATAAAAAGCCTCTTGTAGCACAATGGCAGTGTCCATACCCCTGAACCACTAAAAGTAGGATTGCAGGTGCAGCAGGTAATTAAAAAGGCAAATGGAATTTTGTCTGTCATTGCTCGAGGGATGGAGTTTAAAAACAGGGAGGCTATGCTGCAGCTGTATAGGGTCCTGGTGAGGCCACACCTGGAGTACTGTGTGCAGTTTTGGTCTCCTTACTTGAGAAGGGATATACTAGCACTGGATGGGGTGCAGAGAAGATTCACTCGGTTGATTCCAGAGTTGAGAGGATTGGATTATGAGGAGAGACTGAGTAGGCTGGGATTATACTCATTGGAATTCAGAAGAATGAGGGGAGATCTTATAGAAACATATAAGATTATGAAGGGAATAGATAAGGTGGAGGCAGGGAGGTTGTTTCCGCTAGCAGGTGAAACTAGGACTAGGGGGCATAGCCTCAAAATAAAGGGAAGCAGATGTAGGACTGAGGTCAGAAGGAACTTCTTCACCCAAAGGGTTGTGAATCTGTAGAATTCCCTGCCCAGTGAAGCGGTTGAAGCTACCTCGCTGAATGTTTTTAAGGCAAGGCTAGATAAATTTTTGAACAGTAAAGGAATTAAGGGTTATGGTGAGCAGGCGGGTAAGTGGAGCTGAGTCTCAAAAAGATCAGCCATGATCTTATTGAATGGCAGGGCAGGCTTGAGGGGCCAGATGGCCTACTCCTGCTCCTAGTTCTTATGTTCTTATGAACCAGGAGGCCCAGGTTCAAGTCCCATCTGTTCCAGGAGTGTGTAATAACATCACTGAACAGGTTGATTAGAAAATAGGTTAAAAAAATCTATAAAATTCTACCAGGATTAGACAGGGTAGATGCAGGCAGCATGTTCCTGATGATCAGGGAGTTCAGAACCAGCAGTCACAGTCTCAGGATATTGGGTAAACCATTTAGATCTGAGCTGATGAGGAATTTCTTCACCTAGAGAGTGGTGAACCTGTGGAATTCTCAGCCATAGAAAACTGTTGAGGCCAAAACTTTTAAGGCTTTCAAGAAAGATGTAGAAGTAATTCTTAGGACTAAATAGATTAAATGATGTGGGGAGAAAGCAGGAACACTACTGAGTTGGATGATCACCATAACATTGAATGTAAGAGCAGGCTTGAAGGGCTGCATGGCCTAACATGCTCCTATATTCTGTGTTTCTATTACCTGAAATTTCTATTTCCAAATGGAGAAGTTAAATAAAATTAATTTGAAAAATACCTATTTCATAATAAAATTGTATAATTTATCTGTTGGATTTATTTTTGTCTCTTTTTATTCAGGACTCAGTCAGTTTGAAAAGCCCAGGACTTTAACTGAATATTTGACTGTCAACAGCTAAGCAAAAGCTTTCAGTCTAATCTACATATTCTGAACAAATGCTATCTTTGAAGGTCCCTTTTGAAATTGTAGGTTGGAAGGGTATATTCCCACTTTCTGTGAAGATTTGAGAGCTTCATTACGTTTTCCAACAGGCCTGAAATAAACAGTTTTCAAAGATTTTATTTTAAGCAATTATTGTATTTGTATAAATGTGCTTTTCTGATTTAAATGCCTCAGCGCAACAAAGAAAATGTGTGAACAGTGATAGATGATATCACTTGAGAGACAGCAATGAGAATCACAAAATACGTTTTTTAAAAAGGAGAATCAACATTGACTAAAAATATGAATTCTCTCTTAACTATCATCAATTTTGATGATATATGTTCAGTTAAACATTTCTTCAAGATCTTCCGTGAGCTGTTTAAAGTATAAAACATGGAAGCAGCCTCCCATGTGCTGAGAACCCATCTACCTGTAAACCCCATTCCTTTATTGCCAGATTCTGGAGTAATATTACCAGCACAATTTACTTTGCCTTTTTTTGTCTTTGACTCTTATAAAACTTATTATTTGTAATGAACAGTGCCATTGAAGATCTTCTAGTGGTGTGGAAACTGTATCTGTTGATGTAATTTCATTAAATGTAACTTGTCTATTGCAGGCAAAATTTGACTTAGGGACACTTCTTCTTAGTACACACAGACTGCTATGGAGAGACCATAAAAAGCATGTAAGTTTCTTGGAAATTAATTCAGCCAATAATTTTGACGCTATTTGTTCCAACATTTAATTAAATTAGTCATACTTCTGAAGGATTGTGCATCAACAACAACTCATATTTCAACACAGTAAAATGTTCCAATGATAGCAGATAATATTTGACACCAAGATGCAAATCGCAATACGAGAAAAGTGACCAAATGCTTGGTCAAAGAAGTTGCTTTTGAGAAACTTCTCAAAGAAGAGGAGAGTGAGGGGAAACACTTAGTGAGGGAATTCCAGCGAGACAGTCCAGCCAGAAGGAAGTATCACCACCAATGTTGGGTCATTTGCGGTCAGGGATATTCAAAATCGGAAGAGTGAAGAGATTTTGAAAGGTTGCAGGACTCAAGTAGGGATGAGGCCATTAAAAATTTTGAAAACATACATAAGATTTTTAAATTCAACATATTACCTGGCTGGGAGTCTGTCAAGGTTAGTGAACACAATGTTGATAAGTGAACGGAACTTGGTGTGCATTGGACTGTGGGCAGTAGAGTTTTGGATAATCTCAGATTTATGGGGGGTGCTGGTGAAAGAGGGAAGGCCATTGAGGAGAAACTCAAGGCATTATCACATCCCAAGGGTAACAGAGACCTGGACTAGGGTTTCAGCAACAGATGAAGGGAGACAAGGGGTGGAGAGAGAAGGATGTGGTCTTGGAACTTAACCTCCGAGTCAAGTACAATAGCAAAGTTGCAAATGGTCAGTTTCAGCATCAGATGGTTGCCCGGGAGATGAATGAAATTAGGAACAAAATTTGTGGCTGGAAACAAAGAAGATAGTTTTGATTTTGCAATAGTTAATTTGACGAAATAGCTGCTCATTGAGAACTGTATGCAGGAAAAGCAATATAACACATCAGAAACAGTGGAGTGATTTCAAGAGTTGGTGGTGAGGTGGAGCTGGGTGTCATCAGCATTTTTGTAGGACATAATATTGTATTTTGAGGTGATGTCCTGGGGTGTGGATAGCATGGAGAAGAGAAATGGAGAGGGGGATGGAAAGATCCTTTGGGGCTTCAGAGGTAACAATGCAGGAACAGGGCAATTCTGGTGACTCTGTGACCAGACTTGATAGATAAAATGGCTCTTATCCGATTCTGTTCTACCTGGCTGGATGATGTTGAAGCAGAGTGCCAAAGGAAACACACATGTATGCTGAGAGATAGTAAGAACTGCAGATGTTGGAGTCAGAGATAAGACAGTGCGGAGCTGGAGGAAAACAGCAGGGAAGACAGCATCAGAGGAGCAGGAAAGCTGACGTTTCTGAATTTCTGAAGAAGGGTCCCGAACCGAAACATCAGCTTTTCTGCTCCTCTGATGCTGCCTGGCCTGCTGTGTTCCTCCAGCTCCACACTGTTATATATGTACGCTTCAGCGTCTGCCATTCTGATGCTAGCTTTAATACTTGGTACAATTTGAGCTTTGATACTGCCATGTCAAGGTAAATAGGTCAGGAATACCCCTTCAATGAGAATCAACTGTAAGATATGTGACATGTCTAGAGAATATTAATAAAGAAAAAATTGTATTTCCACTGATTTGAGCTCTTCTCACTCAAATCACCCACCCTTAATTAGCCGTCAAGCATGGTGAAATTATGATTAATTTCGAACGAACAGTCATGAAATGTTTCATTCAAAAAAACATTAGCTTTTCTCTAGTGGGGATAAAATAACTGTGGATACAAGGTTTGTAGCCCAAGGATAAGTTTTGTGGACTGGGGAATTATGATTCAAGCCCACCCTCAAATAGCAGAATTTTGCATTTCTTGCCAACCACACTGCCCTGCTCTCCACTCCTGTTTCCAATGCTGATCTAAGAAAGTAAGAAATAGGAGTAGGAGTAAACAATTTGGGCATTTGAGCCTTTTCTGTTTTTCAATACAATGATCAGCCTCAACGCCCACTTTCCCACCTGCTCCCCATTGACCCTCTATTCCCTGAGAGGCAAAAAATCTATCTATCCCAGCCTTAAGCATACTCCACAAACCTCTGGGAAAGGGAATTCTACAGATTCTCAATGCTTTTGAGTGAGAAATATCTCCTTGTTACACATGGGTGGTCACAACATTGAATAGATGGAAAGCCATTGGTCTCTGAGAGGAACTATATTAACCCAAATAATCTTTCTGGTATAACATTCTTGCTGACCACATGTCAGTACTTTGAGAACGAGAATGTAGAAAGGATTGATAGCCTGAGAAACTATAGTAACTGGTATAAACTACATTAAGAATAACAAACTGTGCTGCCAGCAGTGTGGAAAAACGTAATGGGAAGTGTTTCCATTATTTCAGGTGTATTAACAATGAAATGTAAAATTTAGAATTTATTCTAATTCTAAATTGCATTAGTCATGCTAAGTAGGTTACAATTCAATAGTAACATTCTCAAGCTTGAATAAAGTGAGATAAAACATCTGTAAAATGTTATACAACTGAACTTTAGAGCCAATTTTTTAAAAAAAAAATACCATTGTTCATTACCTTTCATTATATACAGGTTTATCTTTGGTGTATAACAATTTTATGTTTGGCATCCTATATGTTAACGTTTACTGAATTGGAATTCTGAAGATAAGTTGTTCTTGTGACTGTTTAGATTAAAAGTGCTGATGGGATTTAGCTATTACATCACTTGCCTTTCCTACAGGATTGCTGCATCGCTTTATCTTTGTCACAGATCATTTTCTTTGAGGAACAGGCAGCTGGAATAGGAAAAAGGTGAGACTTTGCCGTCAAAATAATTTTGAAACATTGGACTTCTACAAATTCACCTTCTGTTTTCCCATGGCCCTGTAATGCTGATGTTGAAAACCAACTTATCATTGATTTTAATATTTTTGGCTTTAAATTGTGACATGTGATTGTACAAGTTGATAACTTTGCTGAAATTGGGCCATTTTGGCGCAAAACAGGAAATCCTAGACTTTTTACTTTCCCTTTTAAAGTGACCAAAAGTTGGAATTTTGTACCCAATAATAGTGTGGCATATTCTTGTCGCAACTGTCTTGAAACAGGGAATACATGAAAGTATAACATCAGCTGTGTATGGGATGGAGATGCACATAGTAATGGGCATTAATGGGGGAAAATGCAGAGTGGGTTCTCACAAAGCAGCCAGTGAATTTAGAATGGGATCAATGTATCTTTCTCCACTGCTAGATGGACAATTGAGCTTCAAGTAGCAGGGCATTTGAAAATTTGTGCAGTACACCAGGGCTCATTCCTGCAACAGAGCCAAGAAATTCTGGAACATGAAAATGGATTAAATCTTAAAATTCCCATTCTAATTCTCATGTTTAAATTTCTTCACAACCTGGCTGCCCCTGTTTCTGACACTTTGTTCAGCTCCATGACCTTTGGAGAACATTGTGTTCTTCCAACTTTGGCTTTTGGTGCATCTTCTGATTTCTTTCACTGATCTTAATGGATGCCCATGGATTCGGCTGTCTAAGTTGCAACTCTAATTTTTCTGTCTAAAACTCTTTTCCCTTACATCTCCTTTAAGGTGCAGTGTTAAAACTATCCATATTGCCAAATATTTGATAACTCATCCTATCATCTCCTCGTTTGGTTTAATTCCAGTTTTTCTTTGATTCTGCACCTAGGAAGCACCTTTTAATAGCTATAAAGGAGCTGTATAGATAGAAGTTACTGTGGGAATTTAGCAGCGGGATAGGCCATTTAGTTAGTAAACAGCCTAACTCCATTTTCATGTCTTGAATTGATAACCATTTTAGCCTCTTCATGTAACAAAAATCCATCAGTCTCAGTTTTAGGATTTTCAGCTGACCTAGACAGTACATCTTTTTTGGAAGAGTCTTTCCACCGGTCTATATGGGAGAAAAAAGCTTTCTAATGTTGTAACTTAATGGGCCAACTGTAATTTAAATGTAACGAAAGCTACTGTTATGAATCTGGACAGCACCAATCTAATTGCAGGAAATCCTTTCTAAGTTTGTGACTGCTTTCCCAAAAGTCTCAACTTTAAATGAAACAACTTTAAGAGAAGCATTGAGCCCTGCAGGGGCCAATGGGGAGGGTGAAGGGAGCTCTGAGCTTGGACGTAACTTATGCTTTGGATGGGTTGGAGCCCCACAGCCAGCCAGGAGGGATGGCTCCATTGTGCCTGAGTAGACCTTGCAGCAGTGGCGGCTGGTGGAGGGGGTGTACAGGTGCTGCAGCCTCTCAGTAGGGGGAACTGCTTGCTAGGGGATTGCTGTTGGTGTGCAGCCTGACTGGGGACAGTGTATGAAGTGTGTCTGGGAGTGGGCGGTGGCTTCAGCCTGTGCCTTGGAACTTGGTGGATGGAGGCTCTCTGGTATAGGGAGCAGTGCTGCACAGGTAGAGACACAGTCAGAGTGTGGAAAAGTTGTGCCAAATATCACCAGTTGGATCATGTATGGTAATGCCATCAGAATGGAGCTCTCAATGTTCCATTGAGATTTCAGGTCCCAATAATGTCCTGACATTAAAGTGAAACAATGTTGAATGAAGGTTTCCTGTAATCTGCAGCTTGTGTAAAGATACTCTGACTGGAAAACTGAGTCCAGTTTAGCATGTAGCCTACAATATTGTTATAGTAGTTGTTAGCCATTTTAAAGTTGCTGTTCCTGCTAGTTGAAAAATCCACTTAGGTTTAGTGAGGGCACACAATTTCTGTGCATGTAATAGACTGCAGTTGAAATCTGTAAAGTATGAAATGAATTTATGCTAAGTTAGAAAAACATTGACACCATTTTTAGGATCAGTGATTGAAATTGGACCACCGGACATTATGCTGATATAATGACAATGGGCTTAAAACAAGACCAAAATAGCAGAGACAGCAGAGGGGAAAAAAAAATCTGAGATTGTGGAATTACTCACCACAAAGGACTCTGTTGATCAGAGTGAGTTCTGGGGGTGATTACAAGGTGATGGGGTGAGGACCTAAATGGAGAGTTGATGTTTGAAATGGTATGGGAGTGGTGTGGTAAAGTGGAAATTATTTGCAACAAAGCTGCTGGTTGGAGAGATAAAACGTAAATTGCTTCAAATGAAGAATGATAGGCAAGATGAATTACCATATGTAAGGAATAATTATTTGTTTGAAGGACCATCATTTTCATTGCTGTAACTCATTCTTAAGATTTTCCTTGTGAGTTCAAGCTTTTATCTATAAATTTAGGATTAACTTTCTGGTATTTGCTGTTCTTCAGAGAGTTTCAGTATAAAAATATGCTCTAAAATATGGTATTATTGTATTGGATGGATGGTATTCCTCTAGTTTCTGATTTTGATAATTGCCATTTAGTTCTGTAAAATAATTGTAGGCTTTAACTATATCTAAAGTGATCTACTATATCTAAGCTTAAAAATCCCATTTGGAAAATATAATGGAACTGGATGAATTGATTGTGAGCCGATAAGAGGATTGAAATGAAAGCCAGAGAAATACTCTTCAATTTCAGAGATGTTATGTTCAATTTGCAATAATAACTCGGGCAATATTTATCCCAAGAGATTCCAAGTTTATATATTTTTCATACTTAAAAGGATAGTATGGTGTGTTTCTCTTGGCAATAGAAGGAACTGAAGATTTTGTTTTGCTAGGAAGCGTGTGCTCTAACAAAGGTTTTACAGTAATTAATGAGTTTAGTTTATTATTCTACTGGGAAGGCCTGCAATCCTTTGGTTGTTGATCTTTTGGCTTCCCTAAATTAATGATGACTTTCTGGAAGAGGAGAGAGAGAGAAGGGAAAGTTGATAAAACATAGCGATGTAAAGTTAGTAGTTGGCAGATGGTTAGGTTTGTGTTGAAGTCTGGACTGAGATATTTGATAACTTCCAGCAGTCAGATGTGAAAGGTTTGTGGACGCAGCACCCTCATCTTTCCGGTTTTGTTTTTAAAATATAACATAATTGTAACATCAACACTGTACTTTTGGCCTCAATAAGTAGCACATGGAAAGCTAAAACGCCACGTTATAGGTTTTATTGTTTATTTTTATATAAAGGGGTTTTATTTATTACACTTAAAATGTAACACAACATTTTGCCAAAGAATCACCTGCCTGATAACTCTTCCTGGTCCTGCACTCCTATCTCTGTAGTACGCCAAAATATGTTTCCTTTTTCCTACTTAGATCTGCATATTGTCCTTTAGTAATATTATCAAGTTCCACTTGTATGCTGATGATACTCAGTATACCTCATCTGCACCTCTCCTAATCCACTATGTTGTCGAAATGCTTGTTTGGCGTCTAGTAGTGCATGAGCTGAAATCTCCTCCAAATAAATATTGGGAGGACTCTAACCATTGTCTTCTGATTCCACCGGAAACACAGCTCCCCAACTTCTGACTAATGTCTCTTCCTGCCAGCTGCCTGAGAATGAAGCAGACTGTTCGCAATCTTATTAGCTGATTTGACTCTGAGACAAGCTCCTGACTTGTATATATTGTTAAAAGGGGAAACAGTTGAAGAATTTTGTCTTGACTCATCAGAATTATGATGCAAGGAACAGACTTGAAAAAAGGAACAGCATATTAAAGAACATGAGAAGAGGCTGCTGATTGGCTGGGTTATCAGTGGCATGCAAATACAGCAAGAACAGTTACCTGTCAATCTTAATTCTCACACCAGGCAAGTAAAGGCTGATTGGTAAGGTTCTCGCCATGAGGATGCTGCAGGAGATTGGCTGTGTCAACGACACCTTTTTTTGTTAACAAGGTGTAATGTATGTAGAAATTCTTTTTTGCCTACATAAAAGGGGAGGCAATGGTTTAGTGGTATTATTGCTAGACTATTAATCCAGAGACCCAGCTAATGGTCTGGGGACATGGGTTCAAATGGTAGCATCTGAATTTAATTTTAAAAGATCTGGAATTAAGAGTCTAATAGTTATCGTGACACCATTGTCAATTGTTGGAAAACCCATCTGGTCCACTAATGTCCTTTAGGGAAAGAAATCTGTCATCCTTACCTGGTCTGGCCTACATGTGACTCCAGATCCACAGGTTGACTCTTAACTGCCCTCTGGGCAATTAGGGATGGGCAATAAATGCTGACCTAGCCATCGATGCCCACAATCCATAAATGAATTAACAAAAAACCAAGTCCTATGTGTTTAGAGATAACACATCTGGAGCTGGAGGAACACTGCAAGCATCAGAGGAGCAGGAAGGTTGACATTTCTTCAGAAGAAGTGTTCCGACCCGAAACATCAACTTTCCTGCTCCTCTGATGCTGCCTGGCCTGCTGTGTTTCTCCAGCTCCACACTGTGTTATCTCTGACTCCAGCATCTGCAGTTCTTGCTACTTTGTATGTATTTATATCTGTAGCTTCTAGCATGCACAAATTTATCACGCTGCAGCTGATGATCTCTTGAGTTTACTGCATAGTTTCACCTGAAGTTCAAATTTGAGAGTTACCTTCCACTTCCAGGCTAATCTGAGGTAGATTGGCAACTGCATAGGGCCAAAGTAGTGAACATAGGCCCTCTCGTGAGTTTTGGCAAAACATAGCGAGTGATGACTCCATGAGAGTTCAAATACATGGCAATGCCCATCTCTAGGCCCAGCTCTTGCTAACATTTGTTGATTACCAGGAGAACTGCATCTTTGGACATAATGTGGTAGGTTTCAGTGTCCGTGTGATGCCAGGTTTGGGGACCATATGTCCCAAGGTTGGTAGAAGCTACATATGTATTTACACAGAACCCTGTTATGTAAGAACAAAAATAATTTTAACATGCATTGCACCTTTTTCACTTAAAAAGAAAAGGATCAAGGAGACAGCCAATTCTCTGCTGCATCCCCATAGTTACGCCCTGATCAATCAGAATTTACCTGCTTGACCTGAGAATGAAGATTGACAATTCACTGCTTTTGCTGCATTCCATGCCAATGATGGCCCAATCAATCAGCACCCTCTTGTCATGCTGTATAAAGTAGTGTCCCTGTTTTCAAGCCTGTTTCTTGTGTCCTAGTTCTGATGAGTGCAAGACAAAAACATTGCTTTTTTTTCCCTCTTAGCAATGTTTTAAGCTCTATACTACCACGCAATTATTTATATTCCTGACCTATATCCACATCATGACTAAGACCACTTACTTCCACCTTGATATAATCATCAAATTTGCCTCGACTTCAGGTCATTAGCTCCTGAAACTGCATCTACCCTTGCATTAATCTTCCAGTTCACTCTTGACAGGCCTCCTAGCTTCCACCTTTAACCGCTTTAGGATTTAGCTTTAAACTTATCCGGAACTCTGCTGGCCATATCTTAACTTTCATCAAGTCTCATACATCCATCGTTGCACGTGCACACACACCTACATTGGCTCCTGGACCAGCAATATTGCGATTTTAAAGTTCTCATCTTTGTATTCAAATACCCTACAATGTCTTGCCGCTCCCTATCACTGTATCCAGCTAACAATCCTCCAAGACCTTTGTGCTCCTCTCATTCTGACTTCTTGTGCACTCAGGATTTTCTTTGTCCTACAATTTGGTGTCTTCAGCTGCCTAAGATTCTAAGATTTTCTCCATAACTTCTCTATGTCTTCTTTCCTTTTGGACCCTCCTTAAAGCTTACTGCTTTGACAAAGCGTTGGTTACCTTGTTCTTGCTTCAATGTCAAATTTTATTTTGTGATCTCCAGTGCAGCAACTTTGGGCATTTTATTATGCTGAATGCGCTTTATTATTATAAATCATTCATTTAGCCAATAGTCAGCTCAGGTAAAATTGGTCGAATGGTCTTGTGCTATAAACCTCTTTGCTTCTGTGACTTGTTTGTGTGTGCTTCCTCTTTAAAATCTTGCAGTTCCACAGACTATTGTAATATTCTTGCATTTTAACTTTATTTAACTCGTAATTGTATTGTTATTTGTGCTTCTTGTAATTTCTTTTTGTTGCCACCTTGACAGTACTGCAACAGAAAATTATCAAATCTACATTTTTAGTTCTTTCGATTTCCTTATCTTTTAATAGTTAATATGTTTATTGTATGGCATACTCCTTTTGATGTTATATCTGCAGCCTGCTGAGGAGTGTGGGCAAATAGCATAACTTGAGAGGAAAAGAAATGAAATTGGATTATTATCTAGAGAAAAATTTGTAGAATAAAAGCCAGGAGAGTGCAAGTAGTTAATTTGCTTCTGCAGAATTATTGCACTGGCACAATGGGCCGAATGGCTGTCTCCTGTGCTGTAACCGTTTGGTGAACACTCTTTCATTATTCCTGTAGAACTGTTGTTACAAAGCATGCTTTCTGAATTTTCTTTCTTTTTTTCCCTTCTGGTCAAATATCCATCATATTGAGCATTTTTTTCAAGAGACAACCAACAGAGAATGGGAGAATCACACACTTAGAAGAAATTGTCCTATAGCTCTCTTGTTGAATTGTGCAACGTTCTGGCTAAATTTTGATGTAGAGGTGTCAACATGACCGTTTATTGTCTGTATATCATTTATATCATCACAGTGCTGCACTTTGTACTTGACCAAGGAAATGACTGAAAAAGCAAACTCTTTTATTTTGTTTCCAGTGCCAAAATAGTAGTTCATCTTCAACCGGTTTCTCCCAACAAAGAGCCTGGCCCATATCAAAGTAGCAAATACTCTTACATCAAGTTGTCTTTCAAGGAACATGGACAGATTGAGGTAACTATTACGCTGACTGCTAAAATGTATGTAAAACGATTCACTGCTTTTTAAAAAGTTTGTTAGTGCATAAATGAGAGTTTCACTAATAAAAAATATGTTCCATGAATGTTGACCAGGCAGGATGATAGTATTTCAGTTTGGTCGACATGATTGGCATGACTTGGCAAATTCCAGATCCCTGTTGCATTGTTTGTTTTATAGTAAAATCCCCAAGAAAGAACAACATCATGCAAATAATGCTGATCCATCTTTTGGGAGGTTAAAGATCAGCTTTGAGAGAAGTTGAACATTACCATTTTTTTGAGGAAGGAATGGCTATACCGTGTTATAAAGGTGCATGGCGAGAGGCAGTCGCTCTCAGCAGTGTGATTACGCACTTGCTCTGATTCCTTTTTGCAATATTGTGTTAAAATTATATGTAAAATGAGTTTGTCTATCTGATCATATGGAGCAAAGATCTCAAAATTTCAAAAGCGGCTTGTTGTTTAAATGGTCAGTAACTGCAAGCCTTGAGGACTAATTTTGATTGAGTGAAATCCTGCAATCCTTTTGGGATTTTGCATTAGTTCCAGTTTTTAAGTGTTCTCATTTAAGTTGGCTGTTTTCCTTAATTAGTACACCAAAAAAATCCATTTGGTAAATGTGGTATTTAGCTAGCAGTCACTTGTATATGGAAATCTGATTTGAGGCATTTTTAATCTGTTGTTCTCACTTAATCAACTCCTGAGTTTCATTCTTCTAACTGCCTCCCCTTGTTCATCTTTTACAACTGCTAACTAGCTGGTATGTGGTTTTTCTATAAGTTTTCCTAATTTGGTTTCCTGACTTCCATTTCTCAGCTGCGTTTACTTGTGTTGTTCAGCTGATTCATTTTGCCATGTTCTACTGCTGTTCTCTGTTGGCTTACTATTATACACGTTTAAGCTCAATGATTTTATAAGCCATCTTTTTAAATTTCAGAACAATTAATTTAGCTCTAAATACTTAACTTGCCTAACATGAACTTGATTTCTCTGGAACAAAGAGTCAAGCTTGGCTGATGACTAGGAAACTGCATTCTAGCATTTTCATTTCCTATCTCCCATATCCCTTTCAGGCTGTTCTCTGTTCACCAACTTTCAAAGATCAAAATTGACCTAACACATCCTCTCACTCGCCTCTTGCTAACAATCTGGCAGTTAAATTGCATTTTCCCACACATGTTTAGCCAATATATGTGCCATGTTTAAATTGACTGTCATTCATTAGTTTATTACCGAGAGAAACCAGGATAATTTCTCTTGGCCCCTTTGTTCCATTATATCCCTTTTCTTCTATCCTATCTGACTTTCTGCCCTTTTACTAATACTGCACTTCAGTCTTCTCAGTTGTTCTGGTTATAGATTTGTCTTTATTTCTTCCTTCATTAATGCATCAAGTTCCAAATTAAAAGCATCAGCGCCGTTTTCTTCAGCCACTCCTCCTGTGACAGGAGGTGATCTAATATGTATTAGAAACTCTTCCTTATTTATTTTGATCTTCTGGTAGCTGAACTATGGTTATGCCCCCCTAATTTTGGACTCATTCACAAGTTGAAGTAGTTTCTCCCCACTCTACTTAACATCTTCGCAACTTTAAAGACAGTTTTCTTGTTAGTGTTTGGTTGTATAATGACATACTGGGCCATTAAATCAGAGCATGGTCTAACAATCTAGAGACATGAGTTAAAACCCCATCACAGGAGCTGATGAGTCTGTATTGTTTAAATAAACTTTGAATTTAAAAAATGCTGGTCATCTGTATGGTGCACTAATGAGCTTAACGGAAGGAAATGTGCCATAATGACCCAATCTGGTCTATGTGCCTCCAGATCCAGAGCAATGTGTTTGACTTTTAACTATCAGCATGTAACTCAGTTGTATTGAAGATACGTAACTCACCATAACTTTCTCGAGCAATTCAGGATGTGCAATAAACACTGCTGCTGCCAGTGATGCCCCTGTCCCATGCATGAATTAGAAAAAAGGAATGAATTCACTTATCATGGAAAACCCAGCCTGCTTGATAATTGTATCTTCCAGTCTGGTAACTGCTCATTAAATCTTCTCCTTGGTGTTCTAGCATCCTATTTGTAGTTTGGACACCAGACTGTGCTCAGTACTCTCAAGTTCATTCTATATAAATTTAATTCCAAATAAATTCAATATAAACTTAACATTGCAGCCCTGCTTTTAAAGTCTATTTCTCCAGAGAGATATCTCAATAAAAAATACTATTTGGCAAGGCTATTTAAATGCAGGGAGCCTATGTCATAGGAAGATGAAAGTAGACCACAGAGTGTACAAAGCTACTGTGGAGCAGACATGTTATCTATTTAATGTAGATTAAGAAAGCTTGTATTTTTGTAGCGATTTGACATATTACTCATTAGGAACAGTGTTCATTAGTTGTGGCTAAAGGATGCTTTTTACAGGACCAGTACTTTTTAATTTTAACTAAGTTCATCTTTGCTGTTGAAATTAAACCTTGTATTCACTGAAATCTTATAGTATTTTCTTCTAATTATTGCCCAGTAGAAGTGCTGATGGATTTGCCTTTCAGTTTTTATACTTATTCCGCAAGCTATCGTTTCTGAGTTTGTCCCCACCGGAAGCAAATTGAGTCGGGAAAGATCAAAGAAAGAGCAAAGGGTTGATTTTATTTCTGGGAGCTTCAGGGCAGTGTGCCAATTGATTTTAACTCCAAGATGTCCCATGCTTAATGCAACATTATTTCTCACTCAACATGTTAGGCATAAGAATTTTTTGGGCAGCTGGGTCTCTGCACAAATCTTATTAAATTCAAGGTTCAAATTTCAAGAAGAATGTTGGTTGATGAATCATTGAAACCTTGAATTCATCTCTGCTATATCAGCTTTGTTTATATAAGATTACTCATCCACCCTCCACTATTTTTTTTCCCTTACTGGTATCCCATCTTGCAGATACTGATTATGGCAGGGTGTGCGCTTAACCTGAGTTATTGTTTATCCATGAGGTTATTTAATCATGGAGAAAATTACAACCAACCCAAATCCTGTCGTCTCCAACATCCACACATGTAACTCCCAGCATGAGTGTTATCACTTATGGTCTATAGTGAGATCGCCGAATACTGTGATTACTCTTTGGGATGCCTAGTGTGTCTACGGTTAAGATTTTTTAACTTTGTAAGACATATTCAAACCCCCAAATCAGCTATAATTTAAACGCCTTGTGTTGTTTCCAATATTTAAAGCACGTTACACATACAAGGTGCTTTAACTTTATTATAATTGTTCTAATTGTAAATTACTATTCGATGTCTCAGAATCGCATTATCAAAACTGTTGTTATGAGCAACTGTGTTTGATGTTTAACTTTGTTTTTAAAGTTTTATAGACGATTATCAGAAGAATTGTCTCAAAAGCGATGGGAGCGAATTTCAGTATCTCAACCGATGCAGTCACCCAGTAGATCACAAGTAGGTATTAACGCCAGACTTCCTGCCTTAATTTATTGTGATCATTTAAAACGTTTATTGTTCATTAATGAAAATTTATGTAAGGCCTCCCTGGATACACCACTAGTCTTGTATTTCTTCACTGCATTAGCTAGTGCTTTACACTTCATAAGTAACAGTATTTGTGTTAATGAATGGATAATTGTCAGATTGAGAAGCAGTCATTGGGAAGGAAAAGAATTTGGGATGATGGTGTATTGGGGAGACTGGTTTGCCTATTGTGTTGGTCAATGATGCATTTTTGTGTTACACCTCAGGATGAATGTTTTCCCAAGTGCAGCATATATTTGGTCAGACGCAGTGTTAAAACTTCATGTAACCTGTTTTGAAAAGCACCTGGGTTTCATTCTCAACTAATCTCTTTTTCAGTTGAATCATCTTTGTTGCTGTTCTCAATCAGTTAAAAAGAAACCAAAGAGCTATGGTTGCTGGAAATCAGAAACAAAAACAGAAAATGCTGAAAAAACAGCATCTGTGGAGAGAAAGCAGAGTTAATGTTTCGGGTCCAGTGACCCTTTCTCAGAACTGATTGTAGCCTGGACAAGCATGGTATATATGCTGAAGATGGGATTTGGGGTGGGGGATAGTAAATGATAAGTGGAGATGGAGCTCGGAGAGATAATTAGTGGCTGAAAATGGGTTGATTGTAGTAGCAGCCCATGTGATGACGTAGTCTGGTGTGTGGGGGTGAGGTAAGGACATGCTTAGGCCCTAAACTTATTGAACTTGATATTGAGTCCTGAAGGCTGCAGGGTCCCTAGGGAGAAATCTTGCCACCTCATGGGCTGCTATCACAACCAACCCATTGTCAGCCACTAATGGTCCCTATTAGCAACTATTGATTCTCCCAAGGCTGCACTTTACCCATTACTTTCTCTGCCCAACTATTGTTTCCTCTCTTTGGGCTCAGTTCACTTAACGCTGTTAAAGATGTAAGAAAACTAATTTTAGAAAGTACACAACTGAAGTTAATTGACATACTTAAGCTACTTTACGCCTAAATATTTGTACTCAATGTTGGTTTTATATATTATGTTGTAAATGCATTTATTATTTATCTGTTAAAAGAATATTTTGTAGTTTACACTATTAAATGTAATCGGTGTATGACAATATTTAATAAATAGTTCTGATTCCCTTTCACCCCTTTTCCTTCACCTGCCAATCCAATCTAACTCCATCATTAACTGTAGAAGTGAATTCCACAGCCTTAATTCTTTGTAAAATTTTTGTGCCATTGTTGACACAAAGTTTCACTTTAGCAACATTATAATGCAATGTTGTTACTTGAAATAATGCTTCTTTACTCATAAAACAGATTATTGGGCTTAACTTAAGCCAACTGAAATGGATATATATTTCAAAAGGAAAAAGAAAATATACAGCTGTGGTGAAAGAATAGGGGAATGAGATGAAAGGCAGCTGATTCAATCCATGGCTACAGGCACAATGAGCCACTGACCTTGTTCTGTGCTGTGTGGATCCATTCTATGAAGTGTTAGGTATAGTTCAACCCAGTAATTTCTCATAGGGAATTAGTTCTTGATTTTAATTATGCCAGTGAAGGAAAAAGCAGAAACTATGTTTTGCACTCCCTTCAGGCAGGGAAAGAAACAATCTAGAGATACTGATGCAAGAGCAGTGTTACTGAACA